AGACCGTCATCTACTAGCTTGTGCTGGCATCTATGAAAGCGTTTGGTTTGGGGGGACCAACCCAAACCATAGTGATTCTAACTTGAAACCACCTCTCCCTCCAGGGTATATGAAGCTTCTCCTTTATATTGAATGCATGCGGCCAAGCGACCAACATTTTGTTGCCAAAAGGATCGTCATGGTTCAACACTGAAGTGCCAGCTTGCCTGTTTTTTGGAACAAAGGGCAGGGCACGGTCTTTGAGCTTGGTGGAAGTCCACCAGTTTTGTGGCACTTGGTTGGACAGAGGTGGGGCCATGCAACAACTGTCTTGAGGGTTAGCAGCCAGGATTGATTAGGTGGCATGTGAATGGAATTCGGGTGGGTCCTGACCCACCGGGTCCGAGAACCCCTCTCGGTGAAATTCCTGTGTGCCTAGAGAGGTTGAGCAGCCCCATGAATACACGGCCCATCCCATATGTACCACAGACCAGGGGTCCGAACGTTCTCTCAACCCCTCTTGGGCCAAGTTCGACCCGACTTGCCGTCTCCGTCGTTCGCCTCACGCACCGACCACGAGCCGTTGATCGAAAAGGAGCTGTTCCCCGATCAAAAGTTCAAGCTGCTCGGCCGGGATCGGCGGTGCGGGGGGGGGGCCCGGCACGGCCGCGCGGTCGTGCTGGGCGGCTCACCGGATGGCGGAGGGTGATCATGGAGGCCTTTTGGGTTTTCACAGAAGGTTGGAAGATGGTTGAACAAGTTGGGAACGTTCTAACTCACGTTTACACCAAAGTTGGGCTTTGGTTAGGGAAAGCCAATCCCAATGTCTGGTGGTCATTTACTGGAGGAGCCTTAAACTTGCAGGAGGCAAGAATCAGGTGCTCGCTCTTCTTGTCAAGTCGGGATACAGAAAACACTGTGGGATTCATCGCGGGCATCCTCTATCCCAGGCGGTTCTCAAGAGTTCCTCCGATCAAAACCCGGTTTTCGAGTTTCCATATGGACTCTTTTTCCATACAGCTCACTGAGCTGGAGATCCGGCCGCTAGGCTGGCTCTCTTTCGCCCAGGTTCGACAACATCGTGAGTTCCTCAGAGGAGCTCCGCAACTTCCGCTACGATGAGAATTCACCTTATGAAGGGCCACTTGGGCACTGAGGTTAGAGGGATCGAAGATGATCGAAGGAGAGGTGAAGAACAGATCGGAAGCATCTTCCCCTGACCTGAGGAAGATGTTAATATAATTAATTAGTCTGATTTAGTTGTTTCGGGTTTCTCTTCTTCAGCAAATCCATCAAAGCTGGGGCACTGAGGTCATGCGCGTCATGTGGGTGAAAAGACGCTTGGGGCTTTCTGAAAGATCGAAAGCTTCCATCAAATCGTTTGAGGTCAGCCGGGTCGTTTGTGCCATCCAGTGTTTCTGATTCTACCGTTCTACCCAGGTCCTGCCAGCCTTCCCACCTACCCAGGAGTCGTCCGTGGAGCACCTGCCCAATCGAACTTTGGGGGACGCTCCACCAAACCAGAACAGACGGGGGAAGGATTGGTAAAGATGATTCTGGTTTTTTCGGGAATTCTGGTCGGATTTCCGTGGATAGCTGTTCTACCGGAAATCGGGGGCACGGAGTTCGGCCAAAAGGCAAATCCGTGGCGCACCTTGGAGGTGCATATTTGGCTGGCGAGAACCATGGAGCTGTTCGCAGAGTCGATCTGAACTGGGCCCCCCCAGCTTTGGCAAACCCAGCTTAGGGTTGCCATGAAGGGCTCACACCTCCCCAAAAGTGCAAGGAAGTAAGGGGGGTTGACGCATCCTCACTTGTAGGACCAGATCGTCACCATGGCACATGCGTGCTCGATGTGTTGCTCTAGCTGACTTCTTTTTAATGTTGGAGGGAACAAACATGAACAAACCTAAAGAGAGAGCTGCTTCGTTGGAAGAAAGTGCTCAGGGCCAAGCGTGGCATTGCTTGGCTCCTAAAGGAAGGATGGCTGGAGGATTTGGAGGACACGGGCTCATGGGCTGGTGGGCTGGTGGGTTGGTGATGGAACTTCTACCCACAGGCCTTAGGGCCAAGCGTGGCTTCTGCAGCGGAAGAGCCTTGAAGGAACTCAAACCATGGCCCTGGTTCTTCAACCCATTAAGAGTCCGGGGGTCCGGGCCGCCCGTGGATCTACGGTTTTTCATTTGGTCCATACCCAAAAGGTGAACTAAAGGGGGTCCACCGTCATCTTCCAGGACCACTCTTCTCAGCAGGACCTCAGGTTGGTATTATGACGGACCTGTCGGAATTCAGGTTCACCGTGATGTGACAAAAGGGTCAGGTGGAGGTATGTCGACCTTTATGCCCGGTTGAGCTGATTGAGAGGGCTCTCAATGGGCTCAGGGCACCTGAGCTCATTGCTGTGGGCGGAGGGCGGAAGACCATGCGAAGTGGAAACAAGGCAGGTACCAATCTTCGAAACATTGACCCCCTGCAGCCAGTTTGGTTTGTTGAGTTCGGTTCATGTTCATGTTCTTCTTCAGGTGGCCGGGTTGTCACTGGTATCATGGCACCCGGTGTTTGGGAGCGCTGGTTTTACACCATGTCGGAGCGATTTATTGAGTCCCATCCCAGGGGCACCCCTACTCACGTTTGGAACGTTTTGGTGGGGGGAAGAACATCTTCCACAATGCTGTTTGTCCACTTCGTCAAGTTTCTTAGAGGCTGTACCCTCTGCACTACCACGGGTTTTGGCACCTGTACTGTCACAAATCATGTTCTAAGCTTCAGGAACCTCTTTTTAACCTAAGCTTAGCAGCTTGGGCCTGGCACTTCCTTGTGCCATGAGCCCTGGCCGCCCTGGCCCTTCCTTGTGCCGTGGCGCTGCGTGGAAGAACACCTGAACCCCCACCTCCAGGAGTCGACGTTGCCAACGCAGCTGAGAAGCTCCTTGCCGGAGCTCCACCCGGAGACCGGTTGCCATATGATCTTCGAGCAGCCCTTGGAGACTGGGCTCCGAAATGGGTGATCTGGGCTCCGAATGGTCCGAGTGGAAGAGAGAAGTCATGGTGAGTGATCTGGGGGGGAGATCATGGTGATCTGGGGAGATCACAGAGATGGACGAAAACCTTTTGGGGGCGTTTGGGTTCTGGAGACGTTCATTTGGCAGGAACTTCCAGAGTGTAATTATGGTGTTTTTGTTCTTGATGTTGTTCTAAGCGAGTGTTCATCCCCACCACTTGGGATAGAATCCGAGGGGACATCTATCATGGAGCCCCATGACCTGCCCCCCCCCATCTTGTACTCTCGTGGTGCTTCTCGCGCTACGCCGAGCGAGACGCGATCTGCCCTCTAATCAGGACAGGGATCGCGCCGAATCCTCCTGCATCAGCGCCTTGGAGGGGATAGATGAAATACAGCCAGATGAGTTTGATGTGCCGAGAGAGGTTCAACAGCCCTATGGCCCATCCCATATGTACCACAGACCAGGGTTCAGGTCTTTCACCCTCTCTTGGTGAGTCAAAGGCCAAGAGACTGGCTGAGAGATACGAAGAGACAGGAGAATGCACATGAATGGAAACGGAAACGCCTTCTACTTACTGTGCCGGCGGCTACCCAGTGTGTTCGGCATCCACTGGGTCTGGTTTCTGTAGCTCGAGTTTAGTCAGGGGATTCCTGGTGGAGTTAGGGATTGAAACTGGCAGAGAATGAAGTGACAATTCCAACCAAACGGCTGCAAGCAGCTATGACTTCGCCTACTACTAGGTGTTTCTGACAAGTTTATGACAACTCATCCGAAAGCAGGGCTGATCCCATGTGATCCATGTGATCGCGGGGACGGGACGGCCATTTCAGCTGTGAGGCATCCTGGCATTGATCGCCAACCGCTACGAGATCTTCACAAGACCTCAGGAGACCAAGGTTATCTTGGAATGTCCCGTGGAAGATCTACCAGCATGCCCTGAGATGCCAGCCACCATTGATTTTACTGTTTCTTACCAAACTTGTCAAGCAAACCCTTGTTTAAGTAAGAGTTTTGGACGGCAAAAATCAGCAAAAAAGTGAATTCATGACTTCTACATGGCCAAGAAATCAGGGGGCCCCGACCTCCTACCCAACGGATCGCCCACCCCAACACCCCCGACCAGCCTGATCTTCGCCCGACCGCTCCGGAGAGAGGAGCCGTCGGCGCGGCTGCGGCGTCAACAGTGGGAACAGCTCCAGGAGGTCATCAGTCACCTGGAGAAATGGAGAGACCGGGGTTTTCATTGGCCGAGTCGGAACCTGGTGGGATTCACCAGGTGATTTGGCGGCTTGGGCGGTTTGGAGGAGATCTGGGGTGGATCCACTACTTGGTGCGGTGTGGGGGAGAAACTGTTTCTGGACTCTGGTTTGGCCTTTTCATGTGATGAACCCACTGAATGGCGGGTTTTTTTCGGTTCTGTCCAGCTCGGTGTCTGGACTCCAAACAGCACCTACTCCGGGTTAGACCCGCGCCTGAGTAGACGGTCTACTCCGACCCCCTCGATCCACCCGCAGCCCAGTGTGTCGCTGGTTTTCAGCGCCCAGGTTGGGTTCGACCCACGACTGATGAGGTCCACGCTGCGCCTCGGAAGAGGACCACCGGCACCGAAGCCTCCAAGGTATAAGTGAGATCATGGTGAAGTCCGTCTGAATTCCAGGAATGAAAGGGGACCAAGGTATAACGTTGGTTTTCGTTTGGTGCCTTCACAGCCTTGGGATGTCTTCCACCTCCAGACTTCCCGCCCCCACCTTTGCCCGGAGAGTGACCGTCCCAAGGCGTGGGGACCGGGTCCGTAGACGGACTGGCGCGTCCCGAGACCGTATTCCTAGGAGGCATGTCAACCTCCCATGGCATGGTGGGAGGTTTTGACGAAGAACGCCATGGAAAATCCTGGGTCTAGGTGCTAAGCTCGGTGTGCCTTGGTGATCTGGGTGGCATATCTCTAGACAACCTGGGAGAACCTCCCCCTTCGTCACGCAGCTTCGGTTCGTGTTTCGCCCAGTCCAGGTGATGGGGGATGACCTGGGTCGGTGAGTTCAGGACCTTCCACCCATTTTTACGGCCTCCAACGCCCTCATGTTGGCCACCCGAGGTGTTGGTTCTCTTGGCCATCCGAGCTCTGGGGAAGAGCAAGTTTGTCTTGTGCCAAGTGCCCAGTCACAACCGTCGCCCCGAAAGTGCGGTGCTCTATTTGGTGGAACACAGCTCCAACGTGGTGCCGTCCATTAATCAATTGAGCGGCTCGGAGGAAGGTCGGAGCAGATCAAGGGCATTTTTCGGAGTGATGTGAGTTTCCTGTAGATTCCAAGTGTTTGCAATCCATGGAGGCTGATGAGTCATTCACCCCCCCATGGAGACGGGAGTGGCATATATCTTGGTATGGGTTCAGAAGCTGATGGAGTGCAACCTGCTCGCCGCCCCTTTGGACATTGGACGCCGGCAAGTGGGCAGAAGTGGGTCCTCCCGATTGAGGGAAGTCAGCGTGTGTGAGGTGTGATTCCCCCTGCGGATCAGTGTGATTTGCTCGTTGTATGGGTGAATCTCCCTGGCGTGGGGTGAATCTTTTGGTGTGGGATTTCCTTATGGAAACATGTTCTCCTTTCCCCGCTACCCTGAACAGCAAATCCAAGCTTCCTTCTATGGGAGTCTGGATTGGAAAGATTTGGTTGCAGGTCCGTTACACACATTTGCAAGCCATTGGTGCTTGAGAATGGACGTTCGATGATTCCACGGGTCAAGCTGCTTTGAGCGGCAGCCTCAGGTGAGTATGGCTTGAAGTGCACTAAGCGAACGCTCCTGCTGCATGAAGCCTTCAACTTTGCACAATTGCTTCAAGGGGAGACGCTTGGATAAAATCAATGAAGACCCAGAAAAGGTTCAAACGCATCGTGGCGTTGGGCACTGGCTGGACATCGATGAGGATGATGAGGTTCGAAAGGGTTTTAGATGGTAGACACCCCTGCAAGGATGATCCTGGGGTGAGGAGGAAGAGGAGAATCACACATCGCCCGCCTTTTTTTGCCGCGAAAGACACGGCCTTCACGGGGTTCCTGGTTGGTTCTAGATTCTAGAGAGGGAAAGCTGTTTGAAAGACTTACGTATACAAGAAGTTGGCTCACAAATGGCCTTTCATACCACCCTCCTTATGTGCCATTCCAATGGACTTGGCGGGAAGTGTGGGCAACACCAGGATTACCCCAACATCTCCACATGTCTCAGTCGTCCGCGCCTGGAGTGGTTCATCACTGTGCAGCCTGACTGCAGGAATGTGCCTGCCAACGTGCTGCAGCTGCAGGCACCGTGTGAAGAAGTCCGTTTGGTGGCGTTCCTGAACTGGTTTACCCGAAAGTATGCAGCGGGAATGGCCAGGTGGGTTCGGGCCAAGACGCGCTAGTGCAAGGTGATGATGTTTCCTCCAGCCAGTGTGGCTTTGCTCAGTCAGTTTCTTCAGCTTTCTTGCAGGCACAAGTGATGCGCGAGGGCGAGCAAGCTATCCGCTTCTACATCCTCTTCTTGCTGGGATTTATGAGTGGCTTCACCTGGCGTTTTCAGAGTTCCTTTTGCGAAACCACTCCGCGCATCCGAAACCGCCTTCTTCAGGCCCTTTCATTGGTCCCCTGTTCTTCTTCATGGGGCCTCCGGCCAGTACGACGGTTCGATGGTGCGGGGGGGAGTTCCAAGGTGGCTTGGAGGGTGGCAGTGGCTCCAGGCGAGAACGACGGGGTGGGGAATAGGTGACGAAGTAGATGGGATCATATCCAGGCACACCATGGAATGGGTGAAGAGACTCTGGACATGTGCAAATCATGGAATTTTGTTCAATGTGCTCTTCATGTCGGCGCAAATGGCCATGTACAAGAATTTTGGTCACATGCAGTGATAAGCGAGGATATGACTACAATTCGTGATATGGTGCATATGGCCCTAAGAGAATACTTGTCTCCGTGGAACAAGATTGCAATGCACTGATCTAGTAGGGGGTGTTCGTCCAACTGTCACTTAGTCATGGAATTGTGTTCACCATGATTTCCACCGCAGGATTCGCTTTTCCAGGAAATGTAATTAGCACAGAAAGGCCATTCCACGTCTCGAAGAGAACCGATGACTGCCGCAACCGAAAGCTTGAATGAATTGAGGGCCGACATCGGTTGGTCTTTTCCTTCTTTGCGATACAGTGGTTTTAGAGGTTCGATGGCGTTACCCCCAGGTTTGGTGGTTTACCTGGACATCTTACGGGCTTGTGTCAAACCACCGAGCACCGAGCCATGCGACCACCGAGCCGCAGCGGAGAGGTTCATGACGGCCCAGCGAGCAGAGAATGTCATCGAGGCGTGGTCTGAGTTCGACCCCATGGGATGTCCGGAGCAACTCCGACATCACATGGGTCAGTGGGGTGGAAACTGCGTGTGAGCAGCTGGGGTGAGCTGTGCTTGGAGCGATCCAGTTTGGGTGATGGGTGGGCATAGACAGGTGTTTCAGGTGTTTCGTAGAAACTACTCTCTGATGGTGGTTGGAAGAGGGGGAACCCACTTGGCCCATGAAAAAACACATCCACTGTGATGTGTTCGGAGTCCATCCATGGGTTGGTTGCCCGGTGAGCCGTTCCGGGCGGCTCAGGAGCAAGGGTGTTCGTGTTGGGTGTTCGTGTCGGGCAGGCTGTGAACATGCTCCAGCACCTGTCATATGCCACGCCTGCGGGCATCTACTGGGGCTACCTTTGCGCGCGTGCTCAAGCTTTGAGACTTCCAACAGAGAAACCTGCCACTTGGGCCTTCGGTCCGGGTGTCCGTAAGTACGCACCACAAAGGGTTACGGGTATGTGATATGTGGATTTCTGGCATTTGATGCAAGACGTGCGGACCACACTTCGGTCGACTTCGAGTTTGTCTCTCAGGAAGATTTGGTCCTCATCCGTTTGGCCTTTCTGATGCGAGTTCAGACTGATGTGCCTCACCTACATTTGGCCGATGCCCGATGCCCATCGATGCCCTGTGTAGTTGGTTGTTTGCAGCTTTCGGGTGGCTTCTGATTTAACCCCCTTCTGACGAAGAGCTTTCTGGTTTTTTCGTTCGGTTGCTCAAGCGATTTCCAAGCTCTAGCTGGCCCCAATCTTGATGATGACTGCAAAGCTGGCGATCTCTTCGGGGTTGTGGAGGCAAACAAAAGCCAGCTGTATGGCAACGAAGATTGGCCCAAAAGCCATACAAGTTCCAACTAGTGAACTGGGCCATGTATTTTCGCAACTCCCTAAGAATCCTTGGCCCCTCCATGTCGGACCGGAAGCAAAAGCCTTACCATTTGGGGTTGGCTGAATGTGGGACAAACAGCAATGACTAAGCACAGGCTTGGTTCGGGTCATGATTGGTGCCTTCGTTGCCTTGACAAGGATATCAAAAGCAACAACATTGGATGGACAGCTTGATGCAAGGGTCAAGGCATGCACTGAGGTTGTTGCCAAGCTCAAGGCGATGAATGGGGTGCATCTACCAAGACCTGGGTGAAACCCCCAGGGCAAAAGCAACCGAAGAAACTGTTAGACATTCTCCTGGTACACCACTTCTGGATCTTCTGGATGGCTTTCCACCCATCACTCCCGGTGATGGATGGTGGGTCCTGATGGGTCGTGATGGGTCCTGATGGGTCGTGATGGTCCCTCAGGACAACTGCTATGAGGAGCTGAAGACGGCGTGGAATCGCCTCGGAGATCAGGAGCCTCAGACCCCGCGCGAGGGGCGGACTCGACCACATCTCTTCGTTCCGGATTCTCCGATTCGGTGCCTCTTGGACGATCCGGTGTTGAATTGATTCGGTATACATCGGCGTTCACCTCGTTTCTGGCGGTTTGGTGGATGTTGATTGAACTGAGTGAATTCCCCGGATGGTGTGGGGAAGAGGAACTGGGTGTTTCCCCAGTTCCTGACCAAAAAAATCCAAGCCTCAAGAGGCTCGAGGTTTTTGAGCCCTGGTCAACAAGCCTGACCAGGCTTAAGGGACAAGCCAAAGGGCGGGAAGATGAGCCCATACAACTTTTGCCCCTTGAGGGAGGATGGGCAAAATGTGCTGAACCAAAAGTGCCAACAAGGGCCATGCAAGGGAATTCGAGTGGATGGGCTGTCATCGGGCACCCCTACAAGTTGTTGCCTACCTTTCCTTTGTGACCAAGAAAAAAAAAACACGTCTTTCAGGCCCAGCCTTGATGGACAACTGGTAGTTGGTGCACCCCCCCTCCGGCTCTGGAAAAGAAGTGTCCTGCACCTAGGCACGGTTGCAGAAAAAATGAGCCTTGGAATCAGTTGCGCCGCAGAAGCCGCAGAAGCCGGCAGGAGAAGAGAGCCCTGACGAATCACTTCTTGGCAGACGGCATTGAAGAAACCGCCGTGGTGTTCGAGTTCCTGCCAGACTGCGTGGCCAATGCCGTCAAAAACCCGGTGGTCACCTTGACCGGTCTGCTCGAAATCTTGGAAGAGCCTCTTGGTCGCGCGGTGTGGAGGTCCGTTCTGTGTCCGGTCTCCGATCGCCCCCTGGCTGGGTAGACTGGTGATGGGTGTCCACCAGAGGTCCGAGGTCTAGTCCACGGAGTCTGGGAGAACAAGTTGGGAACGGGAACGGACACTCTTCATTCTTCAGCCACTGGGAGAAGAAGTTGGGATGGAAGAAGTCACGGTTGGGAACGGAGTCTGGGAACTTCCTGAAACCTTCAGCCGGTCAACATATAGGACCGAACTGGACTTCTAGGGTATAGGCTTATATAGGTATACAGTTTGGGTGATTTCTCCTGTGATCCAGTTCTATGACTTTCGATGTCGCTGACCCCAGAAAGATCTATGACAAGCTGGCGCTCTGGCGCTCGCCCCGTGCGACTCACGACGGGGTTCGACCAGGTCAAGGCCGACCATGCCTGGAAGTCAAGGACTATGATTAAAATGGTTTGTGGGTGACCCGCTTTTAGGAATGTCCTTTACTTCAGGTGAGGCAAAAGATAGTAGCCCTGGACTTTAGGGTTATGTCTTCATCATCCCGCCTAGCACCTTGGCTCTTCCATTCAATACAACCTGATGGAAGACTGCTTGACGAGTTCAATCGTATTTTGCCATTGCTTTGCGATCGCCTCGGCCACTCCCCATAGCCTCCGCGTTCTGGTGGATTCGTTACCCCAAGTCCGCATTCCGGATGCGCCTGTGAGGCTCTTGCACACCTTGCAGCCGGCCTTGGCCATGAACCCAGACTTGCAGGATGCCAAAGTGATCCAAGTAGATCTTTCAGACATGAGCGAGCCGCTGGGCCACCAGAAGAGCTTCCCGGGCCTTTGTTCCCTTTCGGGCGTGGTGGCCGGTTCCGGATGCCGGTTCCGCAGAGTGGGTGGCGTGGACGTGACTTTCCTGTCGCGGTCACGGACGGTCCTTGTGTTTGGCGCAAGTGATCATTCTATCGGAATCCTTGGGGGGCGACACCTTCGCAAAGGCTGGGCCCGAACCCAAAAAAACAAAAACCAAAAAGCGGCCCGGAATGGGAATGGGTGGACAAAAAGGATCAGGATGACCCTCTAGGTAGACTTCGGTTGGACCCTTTAAAATATGGTTGACCTGGTTTTGTTGTGTAAGATCGTTCGTAAAACCATGGTTGTTTGGGATTCGGCCTGTTAAACTAATGTGTGGGTGGAATCCTAGGTGTTTGGGGGACACGACACTCGTGCCGGCTGCTTCAACTGCGCCTTCTCCGAGTTGGGCTGAGTTGGAAGAAGAGTGTGGCCCAATGTTTGGCTAAAAACCGCACCCTTCTGAAGTGAGATGTGATGATCAGCCAGGGCGAGATAGAGATTTCAGGAATGCCTCAGATATCTGCTTCAGCCCAGATGTTGAACATTCCTTTGTTCTCCCCTGAATGGGCTGAGCAGAACAATGCAAAACATTCTCTGGATGTTCACAGCTGGCCGCCCAAGGTTCATTAGTGTGGTGAACAACCACTTTGTATTTGAGACCTGCGTGTCACGCTGCAAGATTCGAGCCTTGCCGAATCGCTGGGCCTGGCACGTAGAGGGGCTTGGAAAAGGTGGGCATTTGATGGACGGGGAGAATGTAAACCCTCATGTAGCCTCAAAAGTGCACCTGGCTCAAATCCCAAAGAAGAATGTCCCAAATCACCACATGGGACTTAAGAGGCATGTTCTCTCCAGTTCACGAAAGAGAATCTTGCACCACCACACAGGGATACGCAGGGGGCTTTCCATCGAAGTGATAGATCCGTTGATCGTGCTGCTGTCCCACAAGACCTTACATTGGATTTACAAAACGTGAATTCGCTCGACCAACTGCGTTTGCAAAGTTGGGCAAAGGCATGCAAAGGCACAGCACTGCAGTGCCACCTAAATACCCCAATAGAACAGAACTTTGCTGCAAGAATGGGTGCGCATTTCAATCGGGAGACCCCAACCAATGGGTTTGCGTTTGTAAATCTTCTTTCGGTAATCTGTTATTCTTCTTTCAGGGGGCCTTTGGGAGGTCTCCCTATTTTTCAAACACACACACTGCCCAAAGTCATGGACAATTTGGTGGTCCTTCTTTTCACCGATCTCTGATTATGGGCGCCACCCTCCCGCTGCCCAAACCTCCGCTCCGCTCCCCGCCTGCGAGGATTTGCCGGGCGTCGAGCTCAGTTGGAGATGACCGCAGGGAATTGGGGCCGCATTCATGAGCAAGACTCCGACCTCCAAAGTCTCTCGTACTCCGTGCGGGATTTGATGCAGCGTCTCTTGGGCAGCGTGATTTGATGTGCGGGATGGAGGAGGGAGGGGCGGGCAAGGCTGGGGTGGGTTGGATGTCCTCGCTTTAGAGAAGTAGAGTAGGAGGAGGAGGAGGAAGAGGAAAGACCACCTTCTGGAGGGCTTTTTGGTGGAGAGTTTGGAGACATGTGGTGATTCCTTCAGTCACACCCTGGACCTTCAGTCACACCCAGGACCCGAGGGAAGCCACCAAGCCTTTCTTTTGCTTGTCAGGTCAACAATACGTTGAGTCCCACTTGCTGAAGCTGGAAAAGCCTGCGGCACCTCAACAGTTCACCACTTTCTCCATTTGAGTCGCGCAGAACACATCGGGGCGTAGCGGCCGTGGAAAGGTCCACCGGCGGAAGGAATGTAACCGGGCGCGCGTCGTCAGATGTCGACATCTGCTCGAAGTGAATACGCCTTCGATGCAGAGAGACTTTCGGAGGAGCACTGGTTCAACCATCCATGAAGCACTGGTTCAAGCTGACCCATCCCCCCCTGAGTGGCAGAAAGAACAGATGCACCAAGAGCATCCAATAGCTAGGGCGTGTCCCATCAGCGAACAGCCGGTAAAGGGTGGTCGCTAGCAGCCACCCATCATGGGCTATGCCCATAGCTTCGTGTCAGAAGGGTGAAGGCCAGCTATTCCGAACCCACTCGGTCCAGCGGAATCCCTGAAGGCTCGCGAAACCGAAGAAATCCAGCAATCTCCTCAGAGTCTGTTTCACATGCACCCACTGGTACGGTGGACATTCAGAGATGGCACAAAGCCAGCAAAATCATGCAAAATCAAACGATTCCCTGTTTTAAATGGTCCAAATGTGTACAAATGATCTTTGGGGCGTTGTGCCATGTACTCTGAAGTCATTGCGTAAATCCTCTACCAGGGGGACTTCGCTGAATCCCTTGACCAATTCAGGTTTGGGGGCATTGAAGGGATGAGCAACGTCATTCATAGTCATTCAGTGTCCTTGCTTTAACGATCTCCTTCAGTGCGTTGATCCTTCACCTGTTTGGGCTCGACATGCTCAGCGAAAGCTGGCATGAGAAATATGAGAAATGAATAGAAATGATGCGAACGTTTACCAAGGGCTTTCCTTGGTCATTTGTGAAGATGACAGCGGAGCAAAGAAAGTGCCGTCCACGGCGGTTTGTGCCAGATAGAACTGATGGAAAAAGGTTAACCTTTATGAACCAGGCAAAATGAGGGGGTAAGTTTCAACCAAGTTTGCACTTGGAACTCTCCCAAAGCGAGATGTTTTCTGCTAACGTGCGCTTGGGGGGTTGAAATGAGAAGAACAGCACACCGGAAGCAGACTTGTACATGAGGCCATTTAGAAAACTCAACCGCCAGCCCAAGGAGAAGTTAAACACAAGGCCACCTCTGAAGGGCTCTAAATACGTACATATATATATATACATACTGACTATAGCGGAAGGGCCACAATGTGAGATAGAAGGCCACAATCCTTGTGAATTCTCCGGAGAATGCATTGAGCGTCACTGAGCGTAGGCAGGCTGGATGGGCCTTTGGAAAGATGGGATTTCTATTGAGCTTGTTGCTGCTGCAGTTGCCTCACGGAGGAGTTGGCTCGCAAGATCTCGGAGAACCGGTTTGCAAGATCGAGAAGTGAGTGGACATAGTAGGGGGTGTATGTCCACATATTCTCAGACCGTCTTTTCTCCAAAATCCAGCCTGTTGGTGCTTTTTCCCTTGCCTGAGCAGATCAGAAAAGCCCTCCAAGCTCGTGGCCAGACTTCAACCACCCCCTCGCCCGACCCGTTCGGTCGGCCAGGTCCCACACGAGTTCGCCAAGCTCCGTTGACTTCGGGTGTTGACTTACGGCTACCGCCACCTACATCAGGAATAGTGAATCACTTGCCCAAAGAGGAACACCCAAGAAAGGCGAACAGGTGGAAGTGTGGCATCGAGCCCGGCGAGAGGGTCACACCCGTGCGAACAAAGCATTCGTGCCATGGCGTGGTTCGGTGAGAATGGTCGAGGCACACGTGGAGCTGAGCATGCCACGATGGATGCCTTGGATTCATTGCAACAGGAGATGGCTTCTTGGATTTGCCCGACTTCGTAGCTGCAAAAACCAGTCGCTCTTTTTTCTTGTGTTCTCTTTCGTCACGTTCCTTTGTATTTCCTTTGGAAGCAGGTTGCCAAGAGCCTGTTTTTCAGAATAGGTATACCATTTGAAGATCCTCGAAGCCTGGTGGAACTTGTATGCGAAAGTGTGTCCTTGGATCTCCCAGAATGTGTGACTGTGTGACCATGTAGTCCGTCTTGTCAGAACCCTGGCAGAACCTGGCAGTTCGTCCTCGGATGCCATGTCATGCTTAGGAATCTGCCTTCGCTCGCCTCAACGCCAAGCTCTCGCACCTGCGCTTGACGCTGCCGGATGGCCTCCCAAGCAGCCCGATAGACTCGGCACCCCCATTGGGCCCGAGCAAAGACGAGAAGGAGCAGGGTTCGAAGCAGGCAGCTGGGCGACTCAGAATGCGATGCTTTCCCTCCAACATCTGAAATAGAGGTGGGCATCTATTATCTAGAAGACACCCCCTCCAGAGCCGTAGGAAGACCCAGCGCTTGGAGGGAGTTGGAGGGTCTCCCTCTTCCAAGGCCCTCATGGAAGTGGAGTTCGCCCCGCAACAGAAGAGGAAAAGGTACTGTAGTGTCTTTCAACAGGCCATGCCATCCACTTCCATTTTGGCTGAGGAGAAGCCTGAGAGTTTAAGAACGGATTCATCCATCTAACCTAGCGCTTTCAATGGGTGCCCAATGGAGACCTATATATAAGTATATAATATAAGTATAAGTATGTGACCCCGATTTAGGAAGCAGCTAGTACGAAATGCTTTGAGTGGCTCTAACGCTTCTCGTGGCGGAGACCCCCTCACTGATGAGCCCGAATGGCCGCGCACAGGCAGAGCTGGAAGAAGAGCCTCCCGCTTTGAGGCCCTACCTTCGCAGCGTTTGGGGCTTAGCTAACGGCAGCGTTTCAGACATGCACCCAAGTGCAGGGCTCAACTTAGTGGCACAGCCCCAGCTGGCTCAAGTGCCCTTGCATGGCATAGTGCTTGGTGTTTAACTGTTTAAGCATCTCAATTGAAAACACCTTGGGACTCCATTGTTGAATGTGGACAGGATTTGTTGAGCCCAAGATATGACAGGAACGAGGGAGTAACCAAGCCTAAACCTCACATGATCTTCAGGAATGCGAAGACTACACTTGGGCTGTTTTAAGTAAATATGATGCCCTTCAGGAGTTACCCAAAGACTGCAGCCTTCTGTAACTGGAACCTGAAGATGGACTGAGCTTGATGCGATGATCGAACAAGCCACAAGGGCGGCTAGACGGGCAGCACGAGGGGCGTCCATGCTTGACAAAACCCCAACCCAAACCCACCCAGTCAGTTGATAACCATTAACCTTTTGCGGGAATGGGTGTCCACGCTCAACATGAACACATGGGAAGGCAAAGGACTTTCTCTTCCAGGGGGGTCCCATTAAAAAGATATCACTTCACGGTCTTGGGAGGTTGGTCTATTCTATTTTACGGTCTTGGGAGGTTGGTTCATTCTATTTCACGGTCTTGGGAGGTTGGTTCATTCTATTTCACGGTCTTGGGAGGTTGGTCCATTCTATTTCACGGTCTTGGGAGGTTGGTCTGATCTATTTCACGGTCTTGGGAGGTTGGTCTGATCTATTTCACGGTCTTGGGAGGTTGGTCCATTCTATTTCACGGTGTTCGGAGGTTGGTCCATTCTATTTCAATGTCTTGGGAGGTTGGTCTGATCTATTTCACGGTCTTGGGAGGTTGGTTTGATCAGTCTTTTGCCCGTGTCACCGTCAGTCGGGCGCCAGTCTCGCTCCACCCAGGCTGATGCCCATGATGAAACCCGCTATGCCTCGGCGGCCGTACGTCCTTGGGCGAGGGAGCGACTGCGCGGGCGCGGTGGGGCGGGGGGGAGCGGTAGGGCGGCCTTAGGGTCTGTAGGGAGTCTTCCGGGTCTGTGGCAGCCTGGAGGGCTTGGTGAGGGCTTGGAGGCTTCAATTCTCCTACTGCACTGAATTAAACAGAGGTTGAAGAACCCTATGTCGACTATAGACTATCCCAGTTGGGTGGCCCAGGTGACAGGGTCCTATGGTCCCGGTCACTGGCTACCTCTCGTGGACACTGCCAAGACACGAAGTTTTTCAGGCTCCTAGCACCTCACGGAACTTCCCCAGACCTAGGGGTCCGTCGACTGCGGTTCAAACTTCAGTCGCTGAGTGTGGACCAAAGTGTGGAGTAGTTCTGGCCGCCAGTTTGGCTTTCTCAGTGATGTTGAAAAGTGATCCTATGCGTGAATCCCCTGGCATGCGGCATCATGCGGCTTAGGGAAGATGCTTTTGCTTTTTTTCTCCGGTTCCTGAAGCAACTCCAAGCTGGAATCTCCGTCCTTGAACGCCGCACGTGGCCGGACCGGGCCTCAGCCCCATGCCCAAGGCCGGAGTACCCGCCATGAGAGCGACACGGTGTATCGCTTAAGGGGTCGATGGATGCAGCTTTCGACGCATTGCGCCTTCTTCACCCGCGCGATCGGCTTTGGAGACATCAGGAGTCTCCTCCGCGGTCCGCGGCGCGCGGTCCGCGGCGCGCGCAAGCAAGCGCAAGCGCGTGGAGTGAAGGGGGGGAGATGGGGGGGCTTACTGTGCAGGGGGATGGCGTGGACGTGGGCTTCACAGCAGCGAGCCCGTGAGAAGACAATAGAAGTGCAGAAGTTGGAAAGTATGAGGTGCCTGGGTGGCAATTTTGGAGCGTTGAGGGGCAATATGATAGGAAGATCCACAGGTGGTCAAGTCATGTCAAGTCTACCTTTCCAGCGGTTGGCAATTGTTTTTGGGAGCTGCTTGAAGGCTGTAGAGGTGCTGATGTCTTTATCACTTCATCCACCTTCTCCAAGCACAGCTGCCCCAGCCCATGGGAACGCGGGTAGGCAGTGGGGCGACGGCCGGCGCCACCGCGCGCCGCATGCGCCCGCCTCGTTCACTGCTGAACAACACGGCGGCGCAGGAAGTCCCTTCTGAATCGGACGATGTCGAAGACGAAGTCTGAGGGGGAGATTGCCAGAAGGCTTGAATCTCTTCCCTTCCTCTCCAGGCAAGGTTCCCGCGGCCGAACTCATGGTTGAAGGGGTCATGTTTCTTTAAATGAAGGGTCGCAACAGGCCAAAGCCTGCATGTCGATGGTTTCGCGTTGACACCAACCTAACGTGCCGCGTTTGGAGCCAAAGGACGTCAAAGGATGCCAGAGGGCTGAAGATCAAAAATCCGCCTGAGTTGCTCAAATCAAAGGCCTGAAAAACATATTCCAGCAGTCACAAAGGGGTGCTTAATGGAGGTTAGGGGTGCCCATTATCCACTCACTTAGGGACTAAACACCACCCCTTTGTGACCCCTGTGCATGACCCTGCTTTTGTGTTACGTATAGGCTTATTCCAGGTACAACCATGGCAGACCTTTTGAAAACACTCAAATCATATTGATTCCTCTTTTGGGGAGACACTTTGGTGTCCAAAAACTCCACTCAAACTCCACTCCTTGGGCTGGACCATCATAGACCCAGCGCTTCCGCCCTTCACTTCAGGCCTTTGAACCCAGAGAGCACCTTCCGCATTTGTTGGGAGCTTTGGCTGCAGGTCCAGGAGAGTGGGCCGGAGTTACCCGAGGATTCCGATGGCCCACCATGAAATTTGTTCACAGGCTGGAATCCTGAATAACCGAGCTGTTTTACTGAGGATTTTGCACTACAAAACCCGGTCAACCATGTTTAAAGTCTAGGGTGTAGATGGGAGAAACCAGAATGGCACAGAGTCATTTGGGTTCTTCTGGCCGTTTGGGGGACGACAGAAGCAACACATCGTGATGTGTCGCGGTTCGAGTGCCAGTGTTGCCGTTTTTCGGTGCAGTGATGCAGTTTTTTGGACCAGCACATTCCTTGCAGGCTCAAGAATGGAAGCCCCTGCGCTACGCATCTCCAGACAGGACACCCCAGAACAGTAGCATCCAGGTATGACCATTCAGTCACCGGCGCAGTCGAACTGGACCTTTCTTTTCGTCCAGTTGGACTTAATTGGGAACCACCGAAGTGAAGGACATTCCTGAACCGGCAGAGGTTGAAGAACCCTATAGACTATCCTACAGGTACCCCAGTAGGGTCCTAGTTCAGGTCAACCTCTGTTGGAACTTCTCGGATTTGTCAGATCATCACCCTTTGGGAAGAAGAGAAGAAGACACGTTCCAGGGAACTGTAGCTTTTTGTGTCCGCAATGGGGAGACCTGGTCACACCGTTTCTTTTTACGTTTCAACCACCCATGATGAGGCTTTTACCATGGTCTTACCATCCAAATGAGTTTTGATCCATCAAGAGTCTACATGACCACCAGCCGAGTGTCGTGGGACGGCCACAGCCAGACTCGCCAGAGAGAGAGAGAGAGAGTCTACATGACCCCTCCAACAGAGGTTAAGTGACCTGAACTAGGACCCGCAACACCTGGGGTACCCGGAAGGCCTGGGATCGTCGAAGGGCGTCGGGTGACCTGACCCACCGACCTGCTGGGCTGCTGAAGCTCTCATGGACCGAAGTCACGGCACGACGGCTAAGCTCGGCACGTCGAAGGCGGCATAGCTAGGGTGTAACCCCCATGACCAGTAACAGTCAGTAAACGACTATCACTATTGTTGAGAAAGGCCTCCACTAACCATCATCATCATCATCATCATCATCATCATCATCATCATCATCATCATCATCATCATCATCAT